CGTCTGCCCCTTCTCATCGATGCTGACCCTGCGCAGTAGCTGTTGGACCGTGGCTGTTCTGATGGTCCGAAGTCTACGCATAGGCTGCAATGCATCCTCGGACGTTCCTGTGAACGGGTACTAACACACTGTAGAGTAGAAGAGCAATCGTCGGCGTAAATGTATCTCATAGACAGGAACAAAACAAGAATTACTATTTTTTGCAACCTCTGCTGCATTGGCCACTACTCGTACGCATCACCGCCTTGTTTACCACTGTTCTCCGGCTACGTCCACGTCCATTGCTGGGGTCCTCGCGTCCGCCGCAGCTCACATTCGGTCGATTCACTTCACAAAGGACTCGTGTCGACTCAGAACAATCTTCAACGCGGTTTAAAAAATCGGGACTTGTAGTGCTGGAAGGCGAAGGTACGTGTGCCTCGCGCGTCTTTCGGTTGCTCCCCTTGTACATATGTTCCATTCATTGTGGCGTCTCGAGTGCTCTCCGGAGGGGCAGGGCTAAGCCGCCAGATAATGCGCCTCACCTCTTTCGGTCGGCACGAAATATCTTGTGCCACGGAGATGCCGAAACGTGTCTTCTTTGAATGGAATCTGGTCCCGCCATTTGTCTGTGATCCTGACTACTTCTCTCGTACCAGACTCAGGAATACCGACAAACGAATACAAGCTTTAGCCCGAAGGTAAGCGCGTGTGCCATCTATCCCACTTTTTGCTCAGTAATCGGCGCGTAAATCTCAGTCGGACCGAGCCTCTTGCAAGCGGCACCACACGCTGAACTATACCCTAACACCGCCTCTTGCATCGTCTTGCATATGGCAGAAGCGACTGCGACATTCAAAGAAATTCCCGAGCTCTTCGAGGTGCGCGTCTTCGGCTTGACTATGGTTCCTTGCTCACAGCCAGTCCCACAGGTCGACCTCGGAGAGTCCCTCATCGCTCGCACCGAGAGTCTCTGTGAGTGTGTCGTTGGTACGCGGCCCAGCTGAGCCTAAAGCGGCGCAGCAACATTTAGGGAACTGGGGCCGCCCGACCTGTGCCATGTCGTCAAAAGCATGGGAAAGAGCGGCCAGCGCGACCTGGGCTCATACCACTTCGTCTCTGGCGTCGACGCCTCCTCCTCCGCGTCCCTCGCCGCGTACATCAACTCCCTCACCTACGCGATCGAGGACTCGAACGCGTGGTTCTCCAAGACCCCGGCGTGGAAAGTGCGCAACGGCTGCTACTGCTGCTTCAACGCCTTTGCGCGCGTCGACTTCCGCGTGGACGTCAAGATCCCAGGAGGCGTGAACGCGTATGTGGTGGATCTGCGCGGCGAGCGGTGTGTCCCACCCATGCATTCGATCGTCTCAGTGTCTGATCCCCGCCAGGCACGAAGCGACCGCCGACATGTGGCAGGAGACGTATGTTTCCGCCCTCCTGCGGGCCATCCTCTACTCGGATGATCCCACGCACTCCCTCGATGCCTACCGCAAACTGGACCCCATCCCTTCGCCCGAGGGCGAGTTGCGCTTCTTGGCTGCCGCGGAGGCGTTGTTTCTCAAGGGTGCGCCGCCATTAATGCTATATGGGACACTCTCCCTCATTTTACGACCAGGCTGGCAAGTTGGCTCCGATCCAGAGATCCAGGTCGCGTCGGTGACGACCAACCACCTCACGGCCGGCCTGCTCAAGTACTTCGGCGCCTCTGGACGCTACCAGCAGGCCGCAAATCTCTTCGAGAAGATCGCGGTGCGCGAGCCGGAGGTCAACTCGCTCCTTGCGCGCGCGTACCTCGGGATGAGTACGGAGCTCGTTCCCCCTTATAACGCACCCACTGATTCCATCCCCCAGACGAGGAAGTGAAGGCACTGCAGATCATGTCCACAGCGCTGCGCACGGTGCCAGGGCCTGCGTCATATACACTTTTGCACGCGCAATGCGATTTCTTGCGGGACAAAGGGCGCTCGGACTGGGCTCTCAAGCTCGCGCGGCAAGCGGTCAACGCTGCCCCCAGCGAGTTCGTCACCTGGGAGAAGCTCACAGAGGTGTACGTCGAGCTTGGCATGTTCGAGTCGGTGCGTGTATATGTTAGCTAAGCCGATATCAGTACTAATCAGTGTTGTAGGCATTACTCACACTCAACTCGTGCCCAATGTTCACGTTCAACGGACGCGACGCCCATCGCCAGCTGACGCCCTCCCGCGTTCACTTCCCGTTTCATCGCTCGATAGGCGAAATCTTGCCCGACCGCGTAAAGACGGAGGACGACGAGGTGAGTCTTGCTCTTGGATAACGGAACCGACCTGATCATGATTTCTAGGCGGACCCTGCACTTCAACGACTTCCTGCGCCGGGGCTACGTGGCACTTGGGCTCGCGCTTATGGGCTGCTTACGCGTCTAGTTGCACAAATTGGCTGGGACGAGCTACTCAAGACGCGGAGCGCAGTCTTCGTCATGGAGGAGGAGTACCGCATGCAGAAAGCCCAAGGCGACTTCAACGGGCATGAGCGTGCGGCGTCGGCAGAGGGGACGACGCTAGCGGAGGGCGACGAAGACAACGCATCGACGCGGGGGATGGTGAGTCCCGGGGGCAGCGCCGTTTCTGCAACGACGAGCCCCATCAGCGCGACTGTGCCTGAGCTGAATCTGAATGGGAACGGCAATGGCAATGGAAATGTCACCGCCAAAGTGAACGCTGGCGAGAACGACATACCGACCATCCGTATATCCACGGAGTCGGATGGAGAGGCGGATAGCACCGCTGCCATGGCGGCCGATTCGTTGGAGCGACCGGTGCAGGCCGCAGCGGGTGACGACGAGGCGGACATCTCACATGCGGATAATGATACGAAGAAGGAACCGGCTACGCCCTTGACGCAGGAACCGTTCTCGTTCAGCAATAAGCGATTATGCGAGCGGTGGCTTGACAACCTCTTCATGGTCCTTTACGAGGTCTGTTCCTTGCTCGTGACTTGTCAATGCAAAACTGACGTGGACGGACGTAGGACCTACGAGTATGGACCATCTTCCGCGCAGAAGTGGCGCACTTCAAGACCCAGCACGTCGCGTACCGCAAGACGGGGCTCGAGTGGGAGATCCTTGGGGATTTGGGCATGCGGCTACACCACAAGGAGGAGGCGAAGGAGGCGTACCAACGTTGTCTCGACACGCCGCGATACTCCGTCAAGCCGTGGAGCAAGCTCATGGAGATGTACGCAGAGGAGGGCGACATCCAGCGGTCAATCCAGACTGCTATCCGCGTTGCCGCATACCAATACGCGGAGTACACGGAAATGACAGTAAGCTGATCTCCTAGTTGACTCGCGCGGTGCTCAGCAGTTTACAGTTCCCCACACAAATCGCGCAGTGTTTCTTCAAACTGGGCTCTGTCCATGGGCACGCCAAGATCTCGTATACGTTGCTCAGCATGGGCCTTCCGGAGCCGATCCTCAAAATTATGGATAGTTACTTGCAGTATGGCAAAACCTTCAAGGTCGAGGGTTATGATTACTAGTCGTAAAATGACGCAGTACGCGGTTTACCTCAATTTCCGTCTAATGCGTGTCGTGCTTATCATATTTCTTTCCCTTCCTGTCTTATGTTAGATTCTGGGCCTTGTGTATATTCCGATAGCGTTGCTGCGTATCTACTTGATCCCTCTCTCATGTTATGGATGCTTCTTCGTTCGTATTTATGCATGCTCGGGGGTTCCAAGAAGATTACAGTAGAAAATGCTTGAATCTGGTCAAATACAAAGTGCTCTATGGCGTAGGAACCCTCCAGTACTCGCTCGGCGTAAAACCGCCCTTCAGCGCCGCCACAGAGTTATGAGCAGTCGTCCACAGCGGACCCGCGGCCTTTTCGTCGGAGCCCTCATCGAATCCGTTGCCCAGGTTTCGTGCAAGCTCACGCACGGCGGCATCTTCCCGCGCCCAGGTGCCCTGACGGGCCTCCTCCGACCACCAAGCGACGGCCCGGGCGCGGAGGTCTGGAACGCGCATCACGGCGCCGCGCATGAGTCGCAGGAGCTGTATGCGCAGGGCGGTTTGCTCGGCGGCTCGAATCGCAGTGAGTGTCGGATTGATGAGTGCGGCTGCGGAGGCCGACTGCGGGAGTATGTGCACCAGCGGTGGTAGGACAAGGAAGAGAATGCGGCGGGCGAGGTACAGGTTGTCGTGCCACTGCGGGGTATAGTCAGACGGGAGCGCAGATATTGAATGGGCTGTGGCGCACCATGAAAACCGGCTTATCGTCTTTGGGGATTTGAATGGTAGCAGAAGAGATATAGTACGCTTCGAGACAAAAGGCCCCCGCCACGACGGCGACGGCGAGCGTGCGGTAGCGCTCGTGTCCCGAGTTAGCGATGGTCACAAGCTGCAAAAGTCATCAAAGACGAAAGCAAAGTGGATTCAGAAAGCAGGCTTACTCCAATTACAGCAGTTGCGGTGATGTAGGAAAGCAGGACGCGCGGCAACGCGAATAGCCCGAAATCATCGAATGAAAGGCAAAAATCGCACGTCGAAACTACTGTGTGGCCAAAGCTGGTTGAGGTTAGTTACAGCAAGGGAAGCAAGATAGTAGCGCACCGAATATAATACGTTTTCACGTCGAATGAGCTGAGATGCTTAAGCAGCGTCTCGAGTGGCTTTGGTAGGTCTCCAGTGTCTGACTGTTGGATCAAGATGCTCCGAATCGAATCGGCGGGCGTGTTGACTGGGATTTTCAGGCGCGTGTAGATGTTGACCGGTGGCAGGACGATGATTTGGTACAGAAAGTAGAGAGAGTGTAGTAGAACGAAAATATTGAGCAGAGATCGAGTGGAGGTCCATGGTCGGTCAGGAGCCTTACGAATGGCGAGATAGAACCAGGGCGCAATGACCGCCGCTGCAGTTGTGAGGAAGAGCGCGAGAGACACGCCGGCAGCCATCGCGTTGGGCGTTCAAGCGAAAGTTTTGAGAAACACGTCACAGGGCGGCGAAGCTCACGTGCAAAAGTTCCGCTACAGGAAGACAAGCAAAACTGAACCTGCCCGGGATCGAACCAGAGACCTTTCGCGAAACAGAGCATGTAAGGCGAACGCGATAACCACTACGCCACAAGTCCTACAAATGGCGTTCCATCGATAAGATTCCCACCCAGATACGAAACAGATTGGTCGAGGAACCGGAAAGATTCTAGAAATAAACAAAAGGTGAAACCGTCCACTAAAATGCAAGCGGTGATGAAGCTAAGAGCAGCCGGTAGCGGGTCGAAAAGGGCAATATGAATTAACAAAACCAAACACCGCCACCCTTGTTCCTAACCTTCACCATTAGGCTCGTCCCCATCCGGTAAATCTGCAAACAAAACCAAATCCATCACTCGCCAAGGCTCGGAAGGTCGTGCAGATTACCGGCTGGGCCCTCCTGGGGCTGTTTTGGGCGATGGATTTTGCCCCGCCATTTGAGAGGTGCTGACTTGTGAAAATAAGGTCCCTCAATGGTCCGAGAAAGTGTAAAAGTTCTGTATGTGAAAGTGGAGCAACTTTTCATTCTAAGCATAATGAGCCTAGGATGTTTTTTGAAGTTACACCAACTTGAGCTCATCGTTTGCGCACGGACCACTTGGTGTTGGCAACACCAGGTCAAATTGATCTGAAAAAAAAAGTTATGTTCATTCGATAGAGAATCGAAAGATATCCAACTCTCATTAATACACTTCGAGCACTTTTTCCCAACATTTCCGATGTTTTCGACTAAGTCCGCACCTCTCATTTGGCGGGGCGGAGCTCATCACCCAAAACAGCCCCAGGAGGGCCCAGTCGGTAAGCAGGTGTACCCTTTCATCACGTCAATCAATGTTTTGTTATGCTTGGCATGTTTGTCTCTCATCTGAATCCGTCCACACGCCCACGCTTTCTGTGCACCTGCGTCTGACTGGTTCACGAGTCTACTTCACCATGGCTGATGAATCTGCGCTCCGAAGGTCAAATCGCCGGCCCAAACCCGCCCAACGTGAAACAGCTCCCCCAGTAAATGTTCCGTCAAAGCGCAAAGCCAAAGAAGACGCGAGCCCCGCAGATCAACTCCATTTCTTGTTGCAAAATCCGAAAAGTCGGCTCACAAAGATTGACATGAGTGTGCGTTTTCGGTCAGACGCACGACAGAAACCCAATTCACTCGGCCCTCATAGGAACTCATCAATGCGAATTCTTGGGATATGCTCTCGCCAGATTCGCAGACTCGGCTTGCGGCTTTGCTTCCACCTACTGCTTTCCGTTCTTTCCAGCCTACTATCGGACTCGACCATCCCGCAGCCGATAATACCATGCAATTAGACCAAAAGCCATCAGATTCTGTGGACACTTCTTTTTTTGCGGACCCTCATTTTCTTGCCGCCGCCCGTACTTTCCAGGACCACTTGTTCTCCAATTGGCTCTCCGACGCGCATGCCGAGAAAGTCAAAAAGTATGAGCAAGGAATCAAAGATGGTAGTCTTGCGGCCCCATGGAAAGACGAAGTCTGGGAGCGAGATAACCAAAGGGAGGAGCGGACCACTACAAGTGCCGCGAATAATCTTGCAGGGTATAGTATTCCCATTCCACTCTTTCTTCTTCTTTTGAACTTTTGCCTCTTCAAAGGGAGGCAGCCGAACTCAAACTCATCGATTTGGCAAAGAATTCTGTTCTCCGCGAAGGGGATGTGATTGCCTACAAGCGCAATTTCACGAACCTAGATATCGTCGTTGAGAAAGACGTTATTGTGAGGATTCTACTCTTTCTCGACGACGACCTCCTGAGATAACCACGTAACTAAAGATCCAGAAAATTGATCGGCGTACCCACAGCCTTACGGTGTTGTTGGAGCCAGGGCCTACGCGCGATTTGCCCTCACACCTCTTGATGCCGGGCCCGACGGAACCTGCCGCTCCGACACGCATCATGACGATAACGAGTCCCACGCAGCTCGAAAGTGGCCTTCTCGATGTGGATGGGCGGGTCGAGAGGGCGAAGCGGCCCAATGGGAACGCGTGGAAAGCATTGACATTGTGGCGGTGGTCGGGCGATGCCTTGAACCACTCATCACAACCGCAATCGAACGAAGACCGACGCGGAGGTAGACAAGATCATGGCACGCTGTTCTATTTGCGGGCGTGTTATTACCAGGACAGATAGCAGCACAACTCGCGAGACTTTTATCCATTGTACGTCTCCTTCCGGTCGCCTACATGCCAACTGATCCATCGATAAATTGTATCAGCTCCTCAGATCTCAGAGCTCTTCGAAACGGAGCATTTTTGTTCAGAACACCATCCGCGACATCCTTGACGAGTTCAGCGCCTCTCGCCGCCGTCCTTATTCCTTAGCCCCTGTATTTTCGCTCCAGCAAGTGCGGAGCCAACTGTTGCGATCTACTTTCTGGTTCTTTCTGGCTCGGATTGGCACCTCGATATATACGACCTGCAAAATCGGACCGAGAATCATCTTTGCCTCGTGAATGGAAGCATTGCGATACAAAGATTCTAAAGCGGGAATGAACACTCAAAGAGCGCATTGGAATAGTCTTCTATCTGTTGGATGAGCGCATACGCCTGAACTTTCTCAGGCAGCCTGTATACGTTTGCTCGCAACGTCGAAGACTTTCCACACTCGGAGAGGCCTCCGAGGGCGACAACCACTCTGAGCCGCTGTCGGTGGATAAACGGATTGAACATCATCTCGCCTGATAGTCCGGTGTGTGAGGAATCGCGCCAATAAAGATTGCGCAAATGTTTCTTGACTTGTGAGAAGCAAGGGCAGCATCCGATCTCTCCAGGTTGTTCTCAGCTGAGTCAACACCCTGTCGGGAGGCTTCAACATACGCAAGTTCGGACGGTAGATCGGATCGGTGAGAGCTGACTTGAGGAGAGTAAGTGCCGCCTGCAAGCATCCGGGCCCAAGCTGTTCTCCGTCTGCTGTTGCGTCATGGCAAGGGTCGCGCCAAGGCGGCATGAGTTAGAGGGTTGAGGTTACGGTTGAACGTTGAACGTTGAACGTTGAACGTTAAACGTTAAACGTTACATAAACGTTGACCGGCAAAAAAGGAAAGAGGCATAAAAACTCCATCCGCGTTCGGCCTTCGCTCCAGTATCAGCAAGCCAACCAAGAATTAATACAAATACAGTATTTACACCGTCTTCTACTCGACTATGATCAAGATACCTAGCAATAATTACTGTCCAGCCTCGACAGGATATATACGTACGGCTATGTATGTACCTACGCACAAGCACAAGCACAAGCACAAACCTCCGCTCGAGGGCGGCACTACAAACAAACGCGCGGTTGATCTAGACTACTCTAGCTGCGCGCCGACCGCTGTCAAGAAATGCGAATACGAATCCGAAAACAATGCAAGAAAGTAACGATACACGGTTAGAATGTGCAAGTTGGGGTGGGTGGTGGTGGTGGTGGTGCTGAGGGGGGCGGCGGTGTCGAATGGACAGCAAGAAATGAGAAACGGAGAGAAATATGACACTTAGCGGGGTTTTTTCACGCGGGGTAGGCGGGGTGGATAGTGAATAAGTTACTGGGCTTCAAGCAAGCTTCAAGTTGCGGGGTGTTGTGCGCGCGGTTGCGCGCGTGGCGGGTCTTCGGATGCGTATCGCTCTCATCGAATGGGTATCTCATGCTCATCAGCAGAAGCAGCTGGCAGGCCGCATTGTATTTTCAGTACTAAGACCCCATCCTCCATCGCCGCATCGATGTCGGCCGGCTGGCAACGGAGGACGTTCGTTGGCACCGAAAAGACGGTCAGACGTAGGGAGCGGAGGGGAAGGGGCGCACTTTCGTGTCCGCGGGGACGGGGAACGCGCGCGTGAAGCGCCCGTACTTGCGCTCGCGCAGCGCGGCGGCGGCGGGCGCGAACGGCGCGCGCGACAGGCCCTTGACGGTGACTTGGCGCACGCGGTTGAAAAGCGTCGTCGCGAGCGTGATACGAAGGTCGCGCTTCTTGATCCCAGGGAGCTCGAGCAGCGCGGTGAGGACGCGCGTCGCCGAGTCGTAGTGCGTGTCGGCGCGTATGATATACCGGTGGTGGTCGTCCGCGGGCTGCGCGGGAGCTTGCGGAACGTAGGGTGCAAAGGCGCCCTCGGGCGGTGCGGCGAGGGGCGATGTCGAGACGTAAGACGACGACGAGCCCTGCGCTGGGCCGTACTCGCTAGGCACGTGGTGAAACGAAGAGACAGAGAACGAAGCTCGCGACGCACCTCATCGGCGACGCGAACGTCTGTCGCCCTAGTGCGGGCGAATGCGTCAGGGATGCGGAGTGCGCCTGCGGCGTATTCGTCTGGCTGGCGAAGCGGACGTGCTGGTGGGCTTCGATCTCGCGTCGGGTGTTCGCCGAGGCGCTTGACGGGCGCGGGTATGGGTGGTATGGTTGGGGGCGCGCGCGCGAGGCGGGTCGGACGGTGCTGGGTCCGGCGTGCGCGGTGGATCGAACGGTGGTGTCGACGTGAAGCATTACAGGCTTAATCTCCACCGGCGGCGAGCGCCCTGGTGGCTGCCCCGGCGGGTGGAGGCGTATGGGAGTCGGATCATGTGTACCTCGCGGCGGGATCTGAGCGGGGACTAATTGCTGCGGGTTTTGGAGATACATCGCCTGCTGAGGTGGTGGCGGCGGTAGAGATAATGGCTGGTGATGTTGTTGTTGTTGTTGCTCCAGCGCTTGCTGGGACTGCTCAAGCACTTGCTGGAGCTGGTCTTGGGAGTGCTGGGATTCTGACGGCTGCTGCTGGTCCCATTGCTGGGAGTAGCTGGTCTCGCGCGGGGTGGAAGGGCCTGAATATTCATCTGCGGGGTACTGCCCGCCTTGGCCTTGCTGGCCAGGAAAAAACGACATGGTGGTCGAAAGCAAGCCGTTCCACGGGATCAATTCCCTTTTATATGCCCGAGTCACGTCCCACGCTCGGGAGCGAAAGGACAATGCGCCATCACTGATCCCATCACCTCGAGGCGGGACACAGCCACCCGTGGTAAGTCATGGTGCAAAGCTTCAAGTAAGATTGGCTAGTTATACAGGTAGGCGTGTCTATGGCACATTATCAAGTACAGTACGGTCGTTTGCAGACAGGAATCTTAGTGCAGA